ATACAAATGAGCTGGGGTTAGGTGACGGCAAGAAGTACTTGGAAGCGAACCGGGACGGGTAAGCAGTAACAACCCAGAACCTGTTTCCCGGCACGTCGTTTAGCGCAACAACTTAATTTGCATATCAGCGCCGCCAAATTGCAGGCGGCATGCAACGCATATAGCATAGAGGTAGTCAGGAGAGATGGCGGGGGGCAGGTGTGGTGGTTAGGTTTTGACTGAAGTGTAGGCAACTCGACTAGAAATTGTTTTCAGCCTTTGGCGGGCGGCGCACACATGCAGCGAGCACTTCATCAATTTGCCAATAAACTTGCGAGTAGTTTTCGCAATAGATGCCAACATTTCAATCAGGCCAAAAAACACTCAGCATTGAATTTCCCCTTTTCCAACCCCACCGCGCACCCACAACACTCGTGCGCGTCTTAACTTCAGTTAGTTTTTGGTAGTCAGCGTAAAATTTTATGCACATGGCACAAATCGAAATGGAAAATGCGAATGGAAAACCCAAAGTTGTTGCTGATTTGGCGCAAAATTAACAGGCAAAACGCGCGCCAGGACACCACCAAGGACTTGAATGTAGGCTACAGGAATGTGGGCAATTAATGTGAGGAGCCCGGACTCAAGACATCGGCCCGAGCCAAGCGGTGAAAGCCAACGTCGCGTCTCAAATTAAATTTGCATTTCAAATTCGTTTTCGGCGCGTTTTCTTGACAGCCAACAGGGCGGACGCATGGGTCGGTTGCTGAGTGGTTGGGTGGCGTGTCCAGGGCGAATCAAAGCATTTAGTTGGGCCAAATCTATTGACAGGCGGCGACAAGCGAAATGAAATAAAAGTAAAAAAAAAATAAAAAAAATAAAAGGAAAAACGTAAGGAAAACAAGAAGACGACGACACTGTCAGCAGGTGCGGCCGGCCAGGACTATGGAAGGTCCTTGCCTTGCATATAAATCAAAATAATTTTGTTTGGTTCTGTAATTTGGTGTCTAGGAATGCGGAACTAGGCGCCGACGGAGGTGTGCGCTGCGGGGGGGGGGAGCACAGTTGCGCGCTGAAATCATGAAAAGGACAAATGAAGTGAAATTTAAATGATTGCATACTTCGAGGCGTTTGTTAAACCATTTATTTTCACCTAATTGCACACTCGAGTGGACGCTGCCCAACCGCCCAGGCTCTGCTGTGGATGGGGGCGCGGTTGACAGAGGCGTGGAGGGTGCGAGTTCTTGGGCCACTTTTACACTTGGCTGCATGTGGAGGCGTGGGACGTTTCCAGCCATGTTACACAACATGGCTACAAAATATTTGCTGACGTTTTGACATTGCTTTGGCGCTGACCACGCCCACCCGCAAATCAGCCCACACTCCACGGCAAAGTCCTGCTTCATTAGGCCGGACAAACAGGACAAAAGTTTCGCCTGGACAGGCGTGCGTGAATTGCTTTTATTAAATTGCGCTCAACTCGTGTGTTTATCGAAATAAGTGAAAACCAATTATGAAAAAATCTAAAGAAGGCAATTGTAAGAAATACACACAATGGAGTTGTGGACGGGAGTGCTGTAGGAAAGGGGCAGTAGGGAAAATATCTTGTAATATGCCATTTAATACACATATTTAACTTCAAGGACCATTTAGTTTTGATAAAGTGTCATAATTTATTTATTTCATGTTATAACCTTGCAGATGATATTATAGTTTTGTCAAGTAATGTGCAATGCATAGTAGAAGACATCTATTATCCCATAAAGTATATATATTCTCGATCACCATCATCAGCCGAGTTGATATAGCCATGTGCCACTGTCTGTTTGTCCAACCCTCCGTCTGTCCGTCTGTCTGTTCCTATTCGAACTAGTCCTCCAGTGTCTAGTGGCTCCAACTAGCCTGCGATTGTAGAAAAGACACAGTCACAGTTTGAGTGTCACAGTTGTTCTCATACTCTCAGCAGGGTATTTAACAGTCGGTTTGCATTCTATTTTTTTGCACCCTATTACCGAATAGGCGTACAGTTTTATGTTGCATACAATATGTCATCATAACTGTCAGAAGCTCACATTGGGTTGATCTTTAATTTATATATTTTTCCAACGGTGCTCAAACTTTTACATTTTGACAGGCTTCAATAATTCATAAATGCCATCAAACTGTGGAACTGCTTTTAAAAATGTTACCCAACAATTTTTTTTATAAAATAATCTAAAAATAAAAAAATAAAAAAAAACACAGACGCAGCTCTTGTAGTCGCTGCGGTTTCGCTCAAGCGTTACACCACCGCACCCCACACCCCTTCCCCAGCCCCGTCCAGTACGTACCTTTGCCAATCCAGCAAACTCTTCTTCTTCTGTGTAGCTCGCCTTTTGGCGTTGCATTTTAGTCGACGCCTTCATGTCATGACATGTGCAGGAAATGCGTTTTCTGGCGCTGCCAATGCAGCCCCTCTCACAGCCCTCTCCCGCCGCATGCCCCTGCTGCTGCTGCTGCTGCTGCTACTGCTACTGCTACTAGTTACTCGGTTTTCGGTTGGGTTTACGGTTACGGTTTTTTGGTTATGCCGTGTGCTGTGGCGCCTCTTGCGCAGCTCCATAAATATTTAAATTGTGTGCCGCCTCGCGACTTCTGAGTCCCCCTCTCTGCCCGGTATCCCCTGCTGGGTGGCTGTCTTGCGTGTTGCTCGCCGGCTTATTTTTTGACAGTTATCGATTCGCTGCTCCACACGATTCTGAGACGCTGGCGCTTTATCTTGCCAGGCTTGCAATTCATTTCCTAAAATATGCATGCGAAAAAAGCCAAACTCTGGCATAGAGGAGAGGCCCGAACAGGGAAGGAGTAGGGGGGGCGGAATGGAGCTGTGCGAAGCCAAGCGGCATCATTACATTGGCTACGCGCTGTCAAGCTGCTTGCCTCCCGTGCTGCCCACCCGCCCACAGCTCCGCCTCCTGCTGCTTATCATGCTGATGTGTAGCAGCCAGGCCCATCCTTAACACATTTTGCAATATGTACGAGTTATGCCGCATAAGCCTCCAACTCGCATTCATTTCCTACTTTCCAGCCAGTTAAAAACTTTGCCAAGTCGCTCGCTTTGTGCATGTTTAACTTTTGCCTGTCAGGCCCAAGTCGAAGTGCTTGTAACATACACCTCCACACCTTCAATGCAAAACCTCTGCCCCTGCAGCCCGAGCCTTTGATCAAAGTGACACTCAAGTGCTGCGAATTTAAGCAAATGCAAGTGCCCTCTTTCCTACCCCTTATGCATGCCATACCCTGTATACCGCACACTTGACAGCCAAACAAACTGAAACAACAACTCAATTAGCAAACGCCAAAAAATAACTCAACGCATTCAAAATGCTCGTGTTAACAATATAATCAACATATATGGTATATAAGAAAACAAAAGATCTGAACTCAACTCGTCGAAAATTAAATATCCTTATTTGAAACTGTTTTTATGATATATCTTGGATATATCCGAAAACAAAATCAAAGTTAAAAAGCTTGGGTGATAAAGTGAATTGATCAGATATATTTTATCTATATTTTTGGTGTCAACTAAATATCGAGCTTGTGACATTAGAACAGTTTTAATGGCACAACTTTATGTTCGACCGATAAAAAGTCCCATCCATATAAACCTGCCTGTGAATACCGAATAAAAATATGTATATAAGTATATTAAGTGGTCAAAAATATGCCCTGATATGCGTTAAATATGTCGTGCAAAAACTATAAAACCCTCAGTAAGGGTATTAAAATTATCGTATATATAAATTTGTATTTATATTGTGTAATTAACAAGCTCTCGATATTGCAACTACTTGTCTTTTGCCTTTGCCAGTGCAAACTTCATTTACTTAAAGTCAAAAGCATACCGTCCCCTCCCCCACCTTCTTAAGCACTTTTGTGGCGCCTCCGCTGCACCTTGTGGCTGTTCTTGTTGCAAGGCTTAATTGATTTGCAAATATTTGGAATATTCATGCTACGCGTCAAATTGTCAAGAGCAATCCTAAAGAGTAATGTGTTAATAGTTGAGAGTGTTTCAAATATTATTGAGATAAAGCAAACAGCCTCTGAAGGGGGAGTGTAAATAGAGACGGTTTTAAATCGGTTATAAAAATAATCAATATTGATTATGGTTGGAATAATGAATTGCGCATACTTTATTATTATTAAGACAGATCTAAGACAAATATTATTTCAAATTAAAGAAATGTTTGAACTTAAACTTAAATAGAAAAATATATGTGTTAATACACATGGGGAATTTTATTAGATGCCAATGCTCTCATATTAAAGACTCTTAATCTGTGCGCCTATGCAAACTTTAGGCTATGATATATTTCGTCATCGTCGAAAACTACATTTCGGGTTTTTTGCCAAAGTGAAACATTTAAAAATAATTAGGAATTTCATTACAAATATTGAGAAAATCTTATATTAAAGACGCCAAGAAATATCTTGTAAATAGCTCGGAGACTACATTTAGATCAAGTCATAAAATCGTTTGTTTTTCTTTTAAATAGAAAATCTTCATGATTTTACCACAATATTAAATAATAAAAGGCTGCATTATATCTATGCAATGTCTGCAAATGAGTCATCAGTGTTTAAGAATTTAGTTAAAACAATGGGAAGCCCGAATGTCTCTGAGTCAGAGGATTCCGAGCAGAATATTGCAAAAGCTCAAGGGGGACAGAACTTTTCGTTATACATATCTAAAACAAAATATTGCAACTGATAAAAATAATCAATCAAAAAATTGATGGTATAGCTATGAGAGCTATGTCTAATCAAGCAATAAACATTTTACTCAAACTCGCACAATCTCTCTCTCTCGCTCTCTCTCTCTCTCTTTCTGTCTGCCTCTCCCTGATTTTTTGGCAGTGCGAAACACACTGCGTATGAGTAATAAACACATATGTACATGCCAAGCTTTTTGTGCAATACGGATCGAAACATTGCCATTATGCACATTTTGCCGTGGCTCTAAATTTGCCTTCGGTTCAGTTAAGAACGATAAGCGAACGCGTTTGGACGTGTCCCCAAAGAGTTAACAAGTTTTTTAGAGTTAAATATCATACAGACCCCAAATATGACACCAGGTGATCGTTGCGGTGGACCACCACGTCGTGGACCCATTATCAATGTGCAGATTGCACCCCGTTGGCCCCGGCGCCATCATCACAACAATGTTGTCGTTGTGCAGACGCCGCCACCGCCGCCGCGTCCGGCGCCCGTTGTGGTTGTACAGCAGGCGCCACCACCACCGCGGCCAGCACCTGTTGTTGTTGTACAGCAGCAGCCGCCGCCGCCTTATTACCAGCAGCCGCCATCAGATGGACACTATCACAATCCACCACCCCGCTACTAGAAGGAGGCGAAGCGTTCTCCTTTTCATGAATTTACGCAGCACAAATATTTCGTAGACCTGTAGACAAGCATTGTTAGCACACAAGAAATCACCTGAACATTCGAAACACCTGGAAAAAAATTATATATATGTACTATAACTTATCATATATGTGTTCAATTTACTTTGGCCAGCGCTTATCGAACTTTTCCTATCTCTGCGATAAGCCCGCTATCAATGGCCTCTATAGCCGAAAAACTCCATGCCAGCTGTGGCTTTGGATTATGTATTGATTATTGAGGCATTCGTCGCACATAAACACAAACTATAAATCAAAATATCAACCGGCATAGCCAGACATTATTAATTACGAGGGTTGATCTGCAAGAATCTATTATTTGCTTTCAAAAAAGTATTGCTAAGACATGTCCAAGTCGAAATGACTTCACTTCATTTTTAATAAATACTGAAAAAATTCTGACAATTTGTATTTTTCTTGCTTTCTTGCTTACTTATTTTGAAGGTTTTGATACCGAGCCTAATCTTGTATATATTTTGTGTATAAACGTGTGTATTACGCGGCTTTACTTGTTCCACCCGTGCTATATTCAATCTACAATTACAACCTGGAACTACACGCCTCAAACTACAATTGACATTCATCATTTTTATATATTTCGATTGTTATGGGTGTCGTACAAATGTGAAGTAAACTCCAAAGCATCAGAGCTGCGTCCTGGCTAGATATATTAATAATAAATGACTCAAGAATTGTTGAACTAGTCCATAAGTCTAGAAACTCATTTTTGATAAAGAGATAACTTAATTCTATGAAGATATTGGAAAGATCATAATAAATCACATTCAAGAATTGTTGAACTAGTTCATAAAAAGGCAAAATCACATTTGCTGTAAACGAAAGTGAATTCCAGCCAACCAGCCATAATAATGAACCACATTTTGGAATTTTTGAACTACTTTACAAGCTGAAAGTTCACGTTTGATTAAAAAAATGACAGTGCAAGTCATTTTGTGAATAAAAACAATAATAAAATGCAAAGAATCACAACAGTTCGCGCATTTATGTAGTTGAATTTGGAGTACAACCCCCGCAGCTTGCGCCTGCTTATTATCAGTCGATTGCTGCCCAGTCAAGATGACTAACAAGCTGTGTGCTTTGGGCCCGCTTATCTGAACACTGGAATGAAAATGCCAATAAGCTCTGCCCTGATTGATGGCCAACTGCACTGGAAGTCAGCTACGAACAGAACCGAACTGAACAAAAAAGTGTTTTGGCAACGATAAGGCTTAGTAGACAAACTGCTGTGCTCCATACAGCACAAGCATTGGCAAGAGCCATGCGGCCATACTATGAAGATCCATGTCGCTATAGTCATCATCATCACCATCATCGCCCAAGTAAGCATTCGAGACGTACACAAGAGATTTGATCAACGCATATCATTCTCTAGATGGCCAACAATAATATTGTATATATATTTATACTTTTGTACAGATATCGAGATTGATGTTTTCCCCGGCTGGGGTGGCTCATATTATCCGCCGCCGGCTGCTAGGCCCGAAGTCGTCATAGTTAGCCCAGCTACCAACTATATGCCCCTGCCTGGTGGCCAAGCGATGATGCCTCAGCCATACAATGGCACGTCCATGGGCGGAGCGGGCTACTATCAGCAGCAGCAGGGCTATCAGTATCAGTATCAGCAGTACAACACTCCCCCCTATCCACAATGGTAGACAACGCGGCCCACGCAATCGAGTGTAAAACTATGAATTATTATGAAATATGTTAAATATTTGTGTATATCGCGAAAATAAATTAATCTATAAGTGGCAATTATAAAGCATGCCCTTTAATTGTGAAACATTTTTTGCTATGAACCGGACTTTTTCTAAGAACTTGCAAAATCTTGAAATATAGCAAACTAAAGATATTTTTAAATTTCACAAATTTCACGAATTTCGAAAAAGTAAAAACTGTTGATAAGTGTGACGGATCATATTACGAACCAAAAATCTTTGTGGAACGAGAGGAATAAGACCACTCTGTAAAAATGCATTTCAACCATCTATTTTATTTAGGCTGCTTCCTAGACAACTTAATTTAATATGTGTCGAAGAAGTTTTTTTTTTTAAAAGGTTCCCAAACAATGATTGTCATCGATATGTTTTCCCATTCTCGTTATATTGATAATACTATATGAATTTTTTTATTTAACTCGAACATTTTGAGAGCAACTCGCATTGTTTATACAGATTGGGAATATTTCACTTTTTTGATATATCATTATTTTAAAAGTAGAACCTTCTGATCTTGTATCTATACAGATTACATTGTATCTGCTAGTCAAGCACTCTAATATATTACCTGTAAGTACTTGAGCCTATTATTTTAATTTCATGTGAAGTTATTTGCTTTTAAAGGACTGCCGCTATAAACATGAAAAGTTTGCTTTCAATCTCATGATGATAGTGTATCTGTCGTTTTTTATAACTTTCGGAAGCAATTCATTATCTTTTTACTATAAGTAAACATTTTTTTGGCAATGGTATTAGAATATCTTATCATATTTTGCACTTATTGTATTCTACGTCGCCATTTAATTTAACATATATGCTTGTTGACAATGGTTTTTTGTGTGTCTCTCCTGGAACTTATTTATACTGGAAGTTATTTCATTAATTCTAATCGATGACATCAAACCCAGTCAGCAAAGTGAAATCAATGACATTGATAATCAGTTGAAGGCCAGTCTTTAAGTCAAACTTAACTTCTAGCTGGACTTAATTTATTTCCGGAAGATACATTGATTTTCTCAGGAAATTATTATTAAATAATATGATTCATATATCTTTGTTACCGTGCCTGTTGCGATTCGCGTAAAATTCCAAAATTTAATAAAACAACACATTTTGCTTGTTATTCCCCTCTGGCTTTTGGCCGCCCACACTGGAAGTTGTTTATCAATGTTTATCGAAGACACCTAAAACCACCTGACAAGATAGTGAACTAAGCCCCCAACAAAACAAAATAAAAAAAGTACCGACCTGGTCAAACCGCCGGAAAGCTGTCCGCTTAAATATGTTAACCAGTTGCGAAAGAAATTCAGTTAACGCCCAGCGAAAGCAGAGTCAACTGCTTCTATACCTAAATAAAAAGGAATATACATTAATAAGGAACCATGTCATACTACGAGGACGAGCGCCGCCATCACCATCACCATCACCATCATGGTGGACGTCCCATTGTGGAGGTGGATATTGTGCCACCACGTATTCCACGGCCCGTTGTTGAGATTGATGTCGGCTCGCGCTATCCCTCCTATCAACAGGAAGTGGTAGAGGTGATCACACCAGCGGCTGTCTACCAGCCTCCGCCACCACCACGCCCCATTGTCGAGGTGGATGTGATGCGACCCAGTCGACCACTAATCGAGTTCAACATTGGCGGACGTCGTCCCCCCCGCGAGGAAGTTGTCATTGTGGAGCAACAGCGGCCTATGTGGTAACAACTGGGCGTGGCACTTAATTGGAAAACCATTTGAAAAGTTCCTTGAATAAGTTAAAAATAAAATAAATCAGAGATAGTAATTACTCTTTATTGAAATTATATTATCGTGTGGTCTGAAAAGACAAAAAAAAAGTAAATATATATTTGTTATTTGTCACTTGTATATGAAATTAAAATCTTATGTAAAAGTTGCCAACTATCATGCATGAGTTCTGTTCCGTGTTTCCTCTTTCGATTGTTACTAAAAGCTTTTTATAAACAAAAGGGACATTACAATATGTTAACGCCAAAGCGTGATAGCCGTGGATATTACTTGAACTCATGAAAATCGCAAAGAGGGGCGAATAAAATCTTTTGTTTAATTAGCAGTGGGCGAGTCATCTAAAATCTACGTTAACCAAAATTGCCTCAGTTCCAGTCAAATCCAATTGTATATTTACATCGTCACTTGGCTTAGTTGTCAATAATGATGATCTTTGAAAGAGCTCACCGGGTATTAAACGCAAAGTTTCGTATAACCGTCGAATAATTTATTTACCAATCTTTTCGGCACATTTCGAAAAAAAAGCCCGAGATGATCATTGATGACGATTACTTAACAAATATAAATTCTAGAATGCGATCCGCGAGTAAAATGCCGATGGGTATCATTATGATTAGATTTTGAATTATTTGCGTTCGACCAAATGGATCACGCATCCAGTCTGGTCGACCGCGTGTTACAGGCCGAGCCCTAGCCAACTTGACTTTGCTCAACTTGGAACCAGGGCCACCAGCATCAGCCCAAGTGGTCTCTTGTCTATTCTTTTGGTTCCAAGCTTGAGAGTTTTCGTTTCTTTCTAATAATGAAATGAAAGAAACTATTGTGATTATTGGTATATTTATGTAATGTTTTCTTTTAATTATATACCCGAAGTGTATGACCCTCGATTTATCTTGAGATTCGGTTCTCCATCTGCCGTAGCTGAGCTGTTTATTTCGGTATTCTATTAGAATTGCAAGCCAAGATTTAGCGACTCATATTGAAAACAAATGCAACAAACCAATACCATAGCGAAAGACCTTCCGAATCTGTGTTATTTTGATTTGAGAGTCTATCTGAATATGCCAATTCTTTAGCCCCGAGAAGACTGAGAAAATAAAGTTAACTAAATTCAGGCAATAGAAAATTTGTAGGTAAGCAAAAGGCTACTGCGTGCCATCAAGGCCAAGTTGTAAACCGTTTGTCAATTGATAAAATTAAAAACTTGCACAAAAAACAATAATATGGACAAATCCTTAAATTATATAAACAAAGATAACAGTGCATTACAACATTATGTAAACTATTGAAATGTCAACGAATATAGCGAAAAGTATTTGATTTAAATCAAATGTTTCAATATGTTTCCTAAGCACGGAATACTGAATACTAATTCGTGGCTTGGCTTAAGATACACATGAGTCACTCGCGTGAAGGCAATGCACATATCTTGACTCGCCTGAAGCATTTGGTAGCGTCTCTGCGTCTTATGTATGAATCACAGCAAGAATGGATCCATCATTAAGGCAATTCATCGATAAGATACCTGAAGGATTACAATAAACTGATAACGACGAGTGGTATATATTTTGCGTTATAAATTCAACAATTGCATCGAAGCTGACACTCAGTAACGAAACGAACAACAATCAAGGAATACCACAATCCAACGAGATGGCTGAGATTCAACAGGTCAATATTCAATGCGAGTGCTATCATCGCCATGGACCCCTCTATGTGCTGCGCCCCTGGGCCTGGGGTCGTCCCTGCCGTCGCTGCCGACGCATGATGGATCGCAATGTGGTTGTGGTGCCCACTTCTGGTGCGGCTGCCGTAACAGTGACACCCGCCATGACCTCGACACGCCGATCACCAGTTGTGGTATCCACAACCACCACCCAGGCGGTGCCGGTGCAACAGCAACAGGTGGTCCTGACACAGCAGACATCCTATCCTGCGACTCTGCCGCCCACATACAGCGAAACGGTGGTCGTCGGCTAAAGCAAAGCCAGGCTTAGATTGATGCGGATTTGAAGAGATTTAAGAAAATATTAAAAATAAAGCAATAACTTTTTCAAATGAAAACTGAATATCTTAAAATTAAATTCAATAATTTAATTAATATCAAGTCTGACTAGCTTTTGCGTGCCTAATTTCAAATAAGAACATCTATAATTGATTATCAAATTGATAAATTAATAAAACAGTCGATTCAAGTTGCTCAAAGTGATATCTTTCTATAGAGAAAAATATAATAAAAATAAATTTGTAGTAAAACAACTAATTGAAACTTTAATTTATAACTTAATTTTATGCTAACTGGGGAGATAAACCAATAAGAATTGGTCTAAACATTTAATGGGATATTTGTTTATCTTGTTTCTCGATAAACACAACTCATGCTTCGGAAGTTCTAATTTTGATTTAATAATTCTAAAACTTTTTTAGGGCTTTTCATCCTTAAAGTCCTCTCATAAGTTAGAGTTCACTTTTGCCGTGAGCTTGAAAATTGTCGTTAAGTCTAATTCTCTCTACCTCTGCAAGTGCAACTGACCGTAGAGCAAAGCGTGAGACTTTAATTCTCAAGCCAATCGCTGTCTCAGAGCTTATAGATAGTGCCTTTGGCCCCCTGTGAAACATTTATCAGCACGCGACGTCTTATCGCTGAATGCGCATGAATCACTGCAAACATCAAGTTATCGATAACAGACGTAAGGGATTACGATACCGATAGTTACAAATTTCACACTATAAATGCAACAATCGCGTCGTAGCTAAAAATCAGTTAGCTATCAGACGACAAACGAGACATTCTACAGCAAAACATGACCGTAGTGCAACAGGTGAACATAAGCTGCGAATGTTATCATCGTCGTGGACTTCTCTATGTGCTGCGTCCCTGGGCCTGGGGTCGTCCCTGCCGCCGCTGCCGACGCATGATGGATCGCAATGTGGTTGTGGTGCCCACTTCTGGTGCGGCTGCAGTAACAGTAAATGGCGGCATAGACAGAACGTGCGTGTCCCCTGTTGTTGTGTCCACAACCACTCGAGCTGTTAACGTGCCACAAGTGGCTGTTGCACCAGCACAAATGGCCATCGATTGGCAGGCTACGCAGCAAACGTTTCCCTCGGCACTTCCGCCGAAGTACAGCGAAATGGTGGCCACCAACTGAAAAGCCTGTCTTGAAAAGTAGGACTTATAAAAATTGGAAATTTCTTATATGCAAGATTTTTCAGTGAAAGAAATAATATAATAATTTCTTTTGGTTATCTGGTGTTCTGTAAAGTTTTTATTTAATATAAAAATGTATAAAATATTCAATTAGGCAATACAAATAATGAACTAAATTAATTTATTTTAAAATTTCAAAAATATAAGATAAACATAATATCAATACGTTTAAAATATATTTAAACTATTGAAATAATAATAAAATAATTATAAAATACATTAAAATTAGTTCTGACCTATGACATTCCTTATCGGTGCTTGGAAATGAATCACTGCGAATATCTATTGTTAACCGACATGTGGGATTATTATAGCTGATAACGGACACATATTTCTATAAATGCGACACTTGAGGCGTAGTTCACAAACAGTTACGAATCGAACAACGAACAAGGAATACTTCCACACAAAATATGGCTCAAGTTCAGCAGATCCAAATTGTGCAACATTGCGAGTGCTATCATCGCCGTAGACTGATCGGAGCGACACTCGGCTGGCTTTGGGGTCCCTGTCGGCGCTGCAGACTCATAATGAATGGCAATGTCGTGCTGGTGCCCACCACTGGTGTGGTTACAGTAAGCCCCGGCAAGACCTCGATGCGAGTGACACCAGCTGTGGTGTCTAGCAATACCCAATATATGGCTATGCCACAGCAGGTGGTTGACCCACCACCCGCCTATGCGCCACCAGAACAAACGGCCAGCAATTGGCAAGTAACGAAGCAGTCAAATCTCTCGGATCCTCCGCCAAAGTACAGTGAAAAATGTTAAATGTTACATAACTAATAAGTACTCGAAAATTTCAAGAAGTTTTGGAACAAGCCGCTACAAAATAAAATTGTGATCGTGATATTTAAGAGATTTATTTAATTAAATTTAAAGTAATTTTAACACATTCATTCTGTTTCGAAGCACCTTCGACCACATGTGATACATTTTGAGCATATACTGGGAACTCTGGGAGCGAAAGGGCAAGTGTGACACTTAATTGAAAACCCTTTTGAAATAAAACAAAACAAAAATAGCATTTAATATAATTGTTTGTTGTCCTTAATATATGAAATTAAAACAATTTGTAAAAGTTGCCAACCACCTTGCACGAGTTCTGTTTATGCATTTGTGTTTGCTCTTTCGATGGTTACTAAAAGCTTTTTATCAACAAAAGAGACAATTTAATATTAAATAGTTGAAGAACTTGCGTTATATAGCCTCAGCTCCAACAAATTAATCGATGCCGACATTGGCCAGTTTATGTATAAATTACATAAGCCTCGATAAAAATCATTTAACATCTTTCGCCCCAAGGTTTAAACAATCTGTTACCGTATTGATTGCCGCTCCTGGAGCACTTTCGACCCTTTTCTTTAGTGAGGGAGAGTGGGAGTGGGCCTGCGGTGGAGCTTAGTGTTGTGTCTGAGGGGCGCAACCTTGAAGGTGTTAAAATAACATATTTCGTTTTGGGGCGCGCACATTTTGACAAGCGAATGGGCGTGGCAATTGTTAGGCACCAAATGAAATTAAAACGCGCATAAATTATATGAAAAGGGAGCGGGAGCCAAAAAGCTGACGACGAACGTCAAATCGTTGAATATATTAAGACATTTTGGCGGACTGTTAATTTCTGGCATCAAGTTTTGCATACTTTTGTATGGGGCCCCATCGTGTCAAAGGGGGCGGGCGGGTAGGGCGTTGACTGCATAATTGCTCAATAGTGCGCAGCATTTTGTTTAAGCAATTAAGTAGATTGAAGAGTAGGTGGGGAATGCGAGTTCTGTGATTTATGTGTGTGTGTGTGTGTGTGTGTGTGCGTTTGGCAGCCACGCCCAGCACAGCATTGTGTGCGTGTGTGTGTGTGTGTGTGTGCGCGTATTGCATGTCATTTGATTAACTAAAGTTGTTGTAGCCTGCCGCTGCAGAAATTCGCAACAATTTTAATTTAACGCCCTCATTTGCTTGCCAATGCCACGCCTTAAGCCCACTTACGTGAGTTTAATACCAAGCAGCTGCTGTCACGCTGCATTGTCCTTGCGCAAATTAATTAAAAATTGTTTAAAACCGCGCGTCGCCTTGTCGCTGGGTGGCAAATAAAAATCCCAGCAACAAAATATTATTTACATCACTCGCGTTGCCAGCTCAACATTACGAGGCGTACATATAATTTTCTCATACGCCCTATGCATACAAACTGCATATAAAGAGGGCATATTGATCTCCAAGCCCTTTTAAGCTAATATATTCTTTATCAGCATCAAAAGACCATCTGTAAGCTAGGTAAAAGGTATCATAGATTGATTGACTGATTGATTGTTAGCTAACTGACCGACTGTTGATTGACTATTACCTTACGGATTGGTTTACTGATTGATACCCACTGAATGACAGAGTGATTTACTGACTGATTGACTGTTGGCTAACAGACTGACAGATTGATTGACGGATAGATTGACTTATTGCTTATTACCTGACCGACAAACAGAGCGGTTGATTGACGGACTAACAGACTGTTACCAGGCTGTTATCTGTTATGATTGGGTGATTGATTCATTAAGTAATCGAATTTTAGCTGGAGTGATGGATAGAATGATTGACAGCGTAATTGATGAGCTGATTGCCTGGTTTAAACATGGCTGTTAAAGTATTTGACCGACTGATTGATTCCTAACAGACTGTCCAAGTAGCGTATTTATAAATGGACAGCATGATTACCTACTAACTGTAATTGTCTTTAAATAAAATGGACCTCAATGATTGCATTTGACGGAAGTTTAATTTTCGTTCGAAACTTTTAAATACCCAAATGCTTTAAAAGTATTTAATTTTCATTTTCCTAAAATATGAGCTGCATTCACGTTTATAATCAGGAAAACTAAAACCGTTTAATTATTGATAAATGTGACGTCAGCAGCGCGAAGATGCAAGTGTTTTAAATGTCTCAACAAAGCGCACACGACAACAGCAACAGCAACAACAACAACAACAAAGAGAACAACAATCGCGGGAACTGTGTTAAAACAAAGGCCAGCGACAAGGAGAGACGGGAATCCTGCGGGCTGCTTGTTAAATGAAAATTAATTGGCTACACTAATAGTGTTGCCAACTACTTTGCGCAATTAAAACAAATTGTATGTAACAGATACAAGAAAACAAAAAAGAGAAGAAAGAAACGTCCCAGTGGCAGTTCCAGTCGCACAGTCCAAGCCAAGTTGGCAGACCAGCCGGAACGGCTACAGACTGTGTGTGTGTGTGTGCTTGTGTGTTTGGCTGTGTGTATATGTGTTTGTGTACACTGTTCCGCCCTCCTCTATCCATGCCCCCTGGCATCCAAACTGGCCCGGCTTCATGAAACTTTTCCGCACATAATAATTCATGTTAAACTTGCCCCTGTTTCGTCTTTGGCTCTCGGCGCTTGCACTTTGGGGCGCCAGACGCGTGTTTGGCTATGCTTCATTCACTCATTCATGCATTCATGCCATCAGTTGGTCATTCGTTCATTCATTATTTAACAAAAGCAGCTAACACATAGACACTAACTTATCCGCTTACCGTGCAATCCAGCCGAAGCTAAAAAAAATGGTTTACCTGGCCGTACGTCTAACGTTGAGCCCGAGCACAGGCCAGGCTTTGCTTAAATTGTGCGAGGGTCGATTTTCAAATTCTTCAAATGAATATATATATAAAAGGAGAATATACCCTAAGGGTAGCTGTACTGGCTTTTTGACTTTGACTTTGCTCAGTTTACTCTCTTCGACTATCGAAAATATGCAGTATAAATCTATATATATGTATATGTATATATATTCCTTTAAATGTAAAAACTGCACCACGTTTGGCTAATCTTTATTTGACGTTCTTTAACCGCTTGATCCCCCCCCTCCCCCCCTTACTTTTGGCTAGCTTTCACATCTCTTCTCTTTCTCGCATAATTTTTTGCTATTGTTGTGCATTTTGCCTTCATATGCTGCCACCCTTTTCTCTCTCACTTTCGCTCGCTCCTAACTATGCCTCATCAGACAGCCTGTTTTACCTGTTGTTTTCAAAACAATGAACATATTATGTATATCCCCAACAAGACCATAAACGTTTGCAGCACCGAGCTCCAAGTGTGAGGAGTATGTCTGGGCTGGGTAACGGGTCGCCGAAAACAAGGTGCTTCCGCCGTCGAGGGAGTATCAGACATCCTCAGCAGCCCCTTCTCAATCCACATACATATGTTCTCAGACCCAGTAGGTCTTGCTCCATTTTCTGGCTGATTTGAGAACTTGGTGCTGCCTTTCAGCCTTACATTTCTTTTGTTTTCTTGCGCTCCTTTGTCTGGATTTTGCTCTGTGTGTGTGTGTGTGTGTGTGTGTGTGTGCGGCACCTGCTGCGACCCAAAGCAGTAATTCATTTGCTTTTATGGAATTTTTTGTTTTTTTTTCTTAGAACAGCTTTGCCAGCCTTTTCATGGCAAACCCCATTTTTAATTGTGTTTCCGGCAATTTTCACTCTATTAAAAAATTTAGTTTTAGCCAAATGAGAGTCACATTAAAGTCCATAGGCACTGCCTGAGAGTAAGTCCAAGTTACATTGTCAACTTATCAACAACAATATCAAGAACAAATTCATTTACTAGACACAACATCATCATTATCGTCATCAACTTAATAATGCTCGTCAGAGTCATCATCATCATCATCGTCATTATCGGCATTGTCTGTTGGTAAACCAAATTACATTAAAAGCTCGATGCGAACAACATAAATCTGAGCCAGTTGCCTGAACAGCAACTGCTACAGGCAGAGGCAGAGACAAAGGGGAGAACTGTCATGTCTCAATCAAAGCATCTCGTTGCATATCCTCACTCACTGTCTTTTTCTCTCTTTCTCTCTCTGTTTCTCTCGAGCTCAGTCTCAAGTTGTGTTTGCATTTGGATTTTGTGGGGATAACAAAATTTACAGCAAAATACGTACACGAAAATTGGCAAGCTGGCAATTTTTTAAACAATACAAAATTTAAAACTATTATCAAGCTGACTTTTAAATACCCTGCCTAATTGCAAT